TTTCAGATGACCCTGCTCAAATTCACAAGCAGCCTATATTTCTGTCACCTGTGAAACCACTAATCTTCATTTTATCTTATTCATTTATTTAACCAGATTCATAATGAGCTTAAACCCCAAAACATCAAGACCTTCTGAAATCTCTTATTTCCCTACCTTCTGGACTATGACCCCAATAGAGAGCTAATTACACAGAAACCTGCTTACCTTACCTCCTGTGACACTAATAACAAAGGCCAATCTCAACTTCCCCACCTGCTATTCCTTAGAGATGAGCCTCTGAATTTGTTTCTCCATTGGAAAACCTCCCAACGACGTTTCCCCCCCTTCACTAGTGAAAACTCAGAACTGCTGACAGAGAAACCTTTGAATTCACCTGCTTATTAATCTAAACAACCCTACCCACCTCTGTTTCTACCTGGTCGCCAAAGGACAGCAGGGAGAAAGATATTGAAAAACCTTTCCTGGGCCAAAAGGAAGTCACCAGGTGTCTGACCTTTCTTTGTTACTGACCTTTCATACCTGACATTTGCCATATTATATTCAGCATACATTTTCCGGTTCAAATACATGCCTTATTTTGAAGTCTAAAACATTAAGCTTAAAACTGATTTTAAGCTTAAGTGTAAGTAAGTTAAGGTCATGAATGTATTCATTTTTAAAAATTTTTTTCAAGTTTTTAAAAATTAATATTTTTAAAAAATAACCCAAACTCTACCTCAAACAATGTTTGTGGTCTGACTCGTTTTAGGACGTCAACCTGGTTTTGTCTTAGGAGTTGTGTTGCCACGCCCTGACACCAGAGGGTAGCACTGTTGCTATTGTTTTTTTCTGTGGTTTATTATTTAGTATATCCGGTACTTGGCCATTCATCCAACCCAATCCGCAATGTGATTGTATTTGGAAGTGAGGCCTTTGGAAGGTAATCAGATAATCAGAGAGGGACCCTCATGCTGAGATTAGCTTCCTCTAGATGCCTTTAGTTCCCCAGGTGCCTCCAATGCTCTCCAGAGCCAGGTGTTCTAGATCTTGAGGGTCTTGAGGGTCTTGAGGGCTTCTTGAGGGCTGATTGCTCCATAGAGGAAAACCCAGCATCATTTTGTGAAAGTAATTCACTTAATACTTGCAGATGTTTGGTGCCTATGAAACTACAATGTGTGTCCATAGTAGATTCTGGACTCTGATTAATGTAACCCTGAATTAATTTCTCTGTGTTCCAGAAGATGAAAGAAAAGGAACTCTCAAATTCTTTTTTTAGTTTGAAGTTTACTTCTGCATCTTGCTCCAGAGAGTTTCAATTCCTCTCTTTGTCTCTTCTGACTTGTTCCTTCATCTTTCTTTTCCCACTTTCTCCTCATTTATATCTTCCCTTTTATATCCCCCAAATCTGAGCTGACAGCCACAGGTGTGTGGTTAAGATTAAAAGAAGAAAGAAGGGGATCCCTGGGTGGCGCAGCGGTTTGGCGCCTGCCTTTGGCCCAGGGCGCGATCCTGGAGACCCGGGATCGAATCCCACGTCGGGCTCCCGGTGCATGGAGCCTGCTTCTCCCTCTGCCTGTGTCTCTGCCTCTCTCTCTCTCTCTCTCATAAATAAAAAAAAATAAAAATAAAAGAAGAAAGAATCAGTCAATTATGGGTAGGTTGAGAGGCATAGTGTAGGAAAAGGTTTAATTTTCTTCTTTACCTTCTAAAAAGCCTCACTCAGGTGAAATGCAGACCCAGAATTTACAGGGAAAAATAGAGTCTCAGCCAAGAAGCACTAGTCCCATGTGAACACTAGACCTTCTGAAAATAGTAGTATGAAATCATAAGTTTATCTGAGGTGAGATAACTTGGCATTTTTTGTGTCCTACATAAAATTCCACTATTTTTATCTTGACAAGATAGTTTTCTGAATCCTAATTATCTCCATCTAGTATAATTATTTAATTATTAATTAATAAGTATTCATTAATTGTTAAATTAATTGGCATATATATATATATATATATATATTGTTTCTGGAGAACCCTGAAAAATACAGGGGGCATTTTGCAACAGACACCACGCATTTTCCAGATAAGATCCATAATCTCCAGAAAGTTTAATAATAGTGTATGATACTCAAGGAGTTTGTGATCTAGTTAGAGAGCAGGGATATAATGCGTTAAAGCACACCAAAGATAATAATGCAGAAGTCACTAGTTGGTAAATGATTTACTCCCTGAGTGTTTACCCTACATTCCTCCTTGAGGAATACTGGAATGACAAAATGACCTGTTATGGAAGCTTGCCAACCTGTGTGTGGCCATAAAACAGCATAAATGTATCAACCAAGACAAGTTATCAGCAGGTCTCTCAATAAGGTGAATACATTTTATAGCTGGTAATACAACAGTCGGGAGAGATAATATTTTCATGCCCGACATTTGCCATATTATATTCAGCATACATTTTCCGGTTCAAATACATGCCTTATTTTGAAGTCTAAAACATTAAGCTTAAAACTGATTTTAAGCTTAAGTGTAACTTAAGGTCATGTATGTATTCATTTTTTAATTTTTTTAAAGTTTTTAAAAATTAAGCTTTAAAAAAAAAATAACCCAAACTCTACCTCTAACAATGTTTGTGGTCTGACTCGCTTTAGGATGTGAACCTGGTTGTCCTAGGAGTTGTGTTGCCACGCTCTGCCACTAGAGGGTAGCACTGTTGCTATTGTTTTTTTCCTGCGGTTTATTATCCAGGATATTCAGTACTTGGCCATTCATCCAATCCAATCCCCAATGTGATTGTATTTGGAAGTGAGGCCTTTGGAAGGTAATCAGATAATCAGAGAGGGGCCCTCATGCTGAGATTAGTTTCCTTATAAAGAAGATAGTTGGGGGGAGACAATCTGTCTTGGCACCACATGAGGATACAAGCCAGTCTGCAAACCAAGGCCTTCACCGAACACCAGGTCTGCTGGTGCCTTGATCTTGGACTTCCCACCCTCCAGAACTGTAGGAAATAAATGTCTGTTGCTCCAAACACCCAGTCTATGGTGCTCTGTTGTAGCAGCCCAACCCAAGATAATGTCTGACCAGATATTTGAACAGAAACTTTGTGGCGAGCAGGGATGGGGGAGAGATGGTCTTTAAAATGAGGCAGGTCTATCTAAGAAGGACCTGAACTATTCACTATGCAGTAGTGTCACCTCTAAAGTGGAAAGAGCCCCAACTTTTGGTGTCAGAGGACTTAAATTCCAACATGGGCTCAGCCACTGATTGACTGCATGACCTTGGACAAATCACTAACTCTCTGTATCTGTGTCCTCACCCCTAGATAACCATTTGAGACCTACTTTATCTTAATAATATCTTCCTTTGATTTTTCTTTCTTTATTCTGTTCCTGTAGCTACAGGTTGAGAAGAGTTCCTTAGGAGTAACAGTAGAGAAAAAAGAAGTATGGTTGCTGCTGGTGGGTGGCCCAGGCTGGGAGTATGAAAGCAAGTGTGGGCTCGCCAGTGCCCTGATCTCACCGCACCACAGTGTGGTCGATGGTCATACAGGAAGGCCAGCCAGTGTGGAAACCAGATGGGCCGCTGCTTCTGGGATCCGGTGCTTAGGGAGCATCCCACGGCCAACCAGAAGGGAATTTATGACAAGGCAATAAGCAGCTTCTTTAGAAATGTGGATACCAGAATGGTTGGTGATGCCGGCAGTATTTTCAAGGGGAAAATTTGTTCTTTGAAAGCACGAGCTTTCTTGATGGACATGGAGGAAGCAGTAGTATGTGAAATTCTGCAGGGACCACTGAGAGGTGTGTTTGATAGCAAACAACTCATCACCGATATTTCTGGCGCAGGGAACAATTGGATTGTGGGTCACAAGGTTGTTGACAGCCTTTATGAAGAACAGATTTTAGAGAAACTCAAAGTTAGCAGAGCCCTGTGATTGTTCGTAGTCTTGTTTTTTGTTTTTTTTTTTTTTTAATATAATACATTCCATGGGAGGAGGAGCAGGATCTGGACTTGCCACACTTCTTTTAAAGGTGCTTGAAGGTGAATTCCCAATACTACATAGATTCATGACCTCAATTTATCCTTCTGGTGAGCATGATGTCATAACCTTGCCTTATAATGGCATCTTGGCAATGAAGGGATTTAATGAGCATGCAGACTGTGTGTTGCCCACTGACAACTAATCTTTATTTGACATCATTAGGAAAATTGACCTCATGGTGAGTTCTGGAGAGTTGGGTACAACTATAAGGCCAAAGAGTCTGGTTACTTCAAGTTCAGGGGCTTTTTGGAAACAGCACCAGAAGCCCTTTGATGCAATGAACATCGTTGTGGCAAATTTGCTGCTGAAACTAACAAGCTCTGCAAGGTTTGCAGGGCCCCTTAATATGGACCTTAATGAAATCAGCATGAATTTAGTTCCTTTTCCTTAACTAGCATTGTCTAGGGTCAAGCCTAACACCTCTACATACACTGGCAGATGTTAACATTCCTACCCAAAGGTTCAATCACGTGTTAAGATCCTTTTAGTAAAGATCACCAGCTAATTCAGGCTGACCCTAAACATAGTCTCGACTTTGCCTGTGCCCTTATGGTTAGAAGAAATGTACAGGTTTCAGAACTTTGCAGAAATACGGAAAGATTAAGAACCTCTGTGGCTTGTCTCCTGGAATCAAGAAGGCTGGAAAACCAGCTTGTGTTTGGTCCCTCTGGTAGGCCATTCCCATTATTAGCTCTAGCACATAACACATACATGAAGCCTACCTTCATGGAGCTGAGAGATTGATGAGCTTCTACAAGAAAAAAAGCTCATCTTCATCCTATGTACAAATGGAAGGGATGGAGGAAAGCCATTTCATGGAACTGTGTCATCTTTATTAGGGCTCACAGAGGAATATAACCAACTGGATGCCACGAAAAGCATGCCTGTGGAAGATTTACTTAGACTAAGCATAGCCGTGTAAAAAAGAAATCACAAAAATACGACTTTTCTTCATTTCACATTGTTTTTCGTCACCTTACCTTACTGTTTCAGAATTTTTGTGATTCCGAAAGCCCAGTTTGTGCTTTTCATATTAGAAAGCATGTTTGCCTTAAAAAGAGTGGTTTTCATTTCATCACAATTTGTTTATAGCAGTTTGTGAAATTAGTGGAGTCCTTGCACTTTAACTTTGAACACTTGTCTTCAGAAAATTCCCCTTTTCTAAAATTGAGAAAACAGAGTCCTTCAACATTTTACTTTATTTGTAGTCTCACATTCAGGCATTTATACAGTGCTAATCATGTCTTCAATAAAAATCTTATACAGGTATATTTGACTATAATTTATTTTTTTATATTCTGTTTAAATTCTGATTCTTTAAAAGCAAGTATGAGATGTAGTAGAAGAACAATATAAATACTTCTGTGTAATGCTCTCTGACTTCTCAGGGATAGGTTTTTATTATAACCATTAAGGAGATCTTGTTTCTTCTTTGGGTAACCACTTGTTTGCAGTCAAAAAGAATCACAATTTACATTCATTTTAACATACATTTGCATTAAATTATCTTTAACCATAATGCTTTTTATTAAACCAGTTGATTTTATAATAATAAATGTCCAAGTCTGTAAAACACACACATGCAAAGTATCGCTGTCTTTAGGGGATTATAAAATAGTAAGAAGGAAGAATTGGCTGGAACATGATCCGATGCCACTCTGGACTTAGCGCTGTATGAGCTTGCAGGCGGGGAAGAGTAGGATGAAGCAGTAGAAAAGAAAAAGCTTTGAACTGAGCCTCAAAGAATCTCCAGAAGATAAGCTTCAAGGAGCCAGGGAGGCAGGGTAGTTAATACAACCCAGATACAGAAATTACACATATTTAGGGGACCAGAAAAGAAGTCAGCCTGACTGGTCCAAGGGTTTTGTTGGACAGTACGACAGCATCCTGCATGGTGAATTATGCTCAGGTGAAGTGATTTTATTGGAGCATAATGCTAGTTACCTCGGACCTGATCTGAGAGGCAAAGGTGCCGGGGTCAGTTTCTCCTCGGAGAAGAGTGTTCCATTCTAATTGCCAAGCCTCTTGTTTACTTGGGTGAGCTTCTGTCTATATATTTTAGAACCTGTATGTATTTTAGCTTCAGACACAAATCATCAAGAAGGGATTATTTTGGATTCCACCCAAGCTTCTTACTTAAAGTCCTTAATCCTCCCTTAGGACATTTGAAAACAGCCAGAATTGCCCAAGTTCATGAGAGGTAAGAGGTGTTTTTCTCACCTCTATTTTAACATTTTGCATTAGTCATAGGAATTCCTCCTACAGCGCACGCACACAACTGAACAATAGTCTCCCTGCCTTACAGCAGCAGTAGGCTAAGAAACACTGACATCTAATCTCACGGCTGTTAGCTGAATTACTGACTTCAAAGAAAAGTGACCTAGAATTCATTAGGCTATCGCTTTAATATCTGTAAAAATTGAGTAGTCTTACCCAATAAGAAATATATTTTTCAAAGTGTAGGATAACATCAAGTTCAGAAGTCTTTATACTTAGAAGGAAATATATTTAAATATCTTTAGAGTTAAAGAATAATGAAATTCCAACAAGTGACATGACAGCCTGGGCGAGGGTGGTGGATTTTCATGAGTAGGTGGAAAAGACAGGTAATTTGAAGTATGACTCCCCCTCAGGACGGTGCCTTTCCTGTGCTTTAAAAGGCTGGGAGACAGCCCGAGTGGAGAGTCTGATGTAGTGACCATAGATAACAGGATTCAGCATGTGCCGTTAGGATCACTGCCAAGAATCCTATTCCATTCAGTGTCTGGATCCAAGAGCTCAAGGGGCAGACTAGATATTTCCCACAATGCCTGTCATACACAAATCACCTCCTTAACAGTAAGCCTATGTTATCATGGAAAGACTTAGAAGTAAGTGATGTACAAGGGGTAGTGGAAAGGGAGGTGGGCAGGGGGTTGGGGTGACTGGGTGACGGGCACTAAGGGGGGCACTTGATGGGATGAGCCCTGGGTGATATGCTATATGTTGGCAAATTGAACTCCAATAAAAAAAAATAATTAACAAAAAAGAATGAAGATTCTGAAGTCAGACTTCCTGGATTCAAATCCTGACACACCACTCCCTACCTAAATGACCTTGGACTGCTTTATTTAATCTCTTTGTGTCGCAGTTTTCTCACCTGTAAAATGGACAAATAAAATCTTCGAATGATTGAAAAAAATAAATAAAATAAAAAGGCAAGTTTTAAGGTTAAAAAAAGAAGTAAGTAATGTTGAAGAGATTCAAACTCATAATGATATTTTTGTGTTAAGAAAGAAATTATACACGTTTAGCACTATAGGCATTCATAATTTTGAAAATAATTGTGTCTCTGCTGATTGGTTTTGCAAGTCTAACTTACAAACGTTTAATTGAGTAACAGATTTAGGCTTGTGATTTTAAATTTAAATTTCAGTAAGTTTACTCACTGTAGCAGAACATTTAAGAACACTTACACATTGGGGCACCTGGGTGGCTCCGTCAGTTGAGCCCCCAACTCTTGATTTCAGCTCAGGTTATGTTCTCAGGGTGGTGAGACTGAACCCTGTGTCGGGCTCTGTGCTGGGCATGAAGCCTGCTTAGGATTCTCTCCCTCTCCCTTTGCCTCTCCCCTCCCCACTCAAAGAAACAAAAACAAAAACAAAACAAACACTTAGTTTCTCCATATTTTAAGGTTAATATATTAGATTTGCAAGAATAGCAACAACTTGGAAAGATTTGTCAGTTAACTGAAGTTTCCTTCTGGAAGAATTTCAAAAATACTTAATTCATAAATAGAGTTTAAGATGTTTAAAGGGAAATCTAATTATCTGAATGTAAAATTGTGCCCTAACATCAAAGTCTCCTTAAAATCGAGTGTTTATATTTGCAAGACTCAATATTTATAAATTGAACTTAAAATATAAAAAGGATTAAGTTTTCCCATTTTTACTAGTTTAGTCCAGAAACCCAGTCACCCTTATCACTGCCCATCTCTTGAAGTCCCTTCTTAAGCTTAGAGCAAAAATCTCCCCTCACTGCCATTTACATGGGGGAAAATCCCATCTTCTCTCTCTCTGGAATTCACATTAGACAGAATATAGGATTTCTGGATCTATTCTCCATGTGTATGAACTTTTCTTTCATGTTTTTATCTATTGAGTCCTCGAATTTGGGGAGAATTCTTCACTTCTCAGTTTTATTTTCATGGTTCCTTAGTCCCCAGCTACTTCTGCACCACCCTATGAATCCACATCCCAAAGACAACCAGTAGAGCCTCAATTAATGAGCCCAGTAGTGACAAAATGATGAGGAGTACACCACAGTGGTCATGACCCAACTTCTCATTTCAACAATAAGATGCAAGTTAACGCAATCAGAGGCTGCACTGCGCATTTCCAAGCAAAGGAGACTGGAGGTTACAGAAATTACTGAGGTGTTGGAGTCACATCAACAGCCAATGTTGATATTGGACTGAATTATATACAAGAGTTTCTTCACTTTGTGACAAGTGAAGCACTAGATAGCCACAAAGGAAGTTTGACAAAGGCTTAGGAATCGAGACCCCAGGGTTTCAGAGTTGAGATAAAATATGAATAAAAATAAGGAGGGCACCTTTTCCCACTCCTTCTTTGGTAAAGGCTTCATAAAGTTACAATAGTGGTGTTCAAATTTATTGTTCATGTCAAGGACTACAAGCAGAGAGCCTCAGGCTGTGGACTAGACCTGAACTCAATGTTCTCCCACTGAGAACTCACAGAACTCATTTTTCTTGTCTTCTCTAAAAAACTGTACAACTCAGGACACTTGCTGGCTACTTTCCTCAGGGGACATCTCGGCTACTACAGAAGGAGATGTCTCACAAAAAGGAATTTGTCACACTGCTCCTTCTTCATGGTGCAAGGGTGATGTACAGTTGAAGTGAAAAAACAAAGACTTAAAGTGTCTGTATCAAGGTTCCTGCATTCATTTATTTCTCATTGCAGCAACAAGATAAACAAGTATAATTCCATGTCAATGAGTTACAAATTGTAGTAAGCCCAGGAACCTTGAAGATATCTATAAGGCAAATAAAACACTTTTCCTTAGTGTGGACATTAACTTCAGATGATCACTCCAGGCCCCAAAAACCATGACCAATGTGCAAAATGCATTTATCATCCAAAGTACTTTCAAATCTAAAAATAAAATATTCAAATTCAAATGCTTTAACCAAACTGGAAATACAAACAATATACCAAGAATCATCCTTAGCCTCTTGTTCTCCAAGCAAAAGATCAAGAAACAAGATCATGAGCAAAAAAAATCCCCCAAAAAGAAGTTCACCCAGAAAGACTAGATGCCCATCAAAATCACATCTCTTCTTCTGATTCTTGTTCTCGCTCAGCATTTTTCAGGAGTCCAACCTCCGAGGGGCAGAACCTCATAAGTCGAGATTTAACCAACCTGAGGAGAATAAAAGGCATCTCAGATGTTATGCTGTTTAATAAAACTCCAGAACAATGTGTTATGCTGTTTAATAAAACTCCAGAACAATGTGTATCTATAATACAACAAACTCCAAATTATCTATGCAAATGGGAGAAGCAACTCAAAAAAGAAAATCACTTTTATTTGGCTTTGGAGCTACCTGAAAACTTTTCATGGATTAAAGCCGGGTATAAGTAAACAGATACAGTACAGCTTTTAAATGTATAAACATGATTGTTTGATTAGGCATCAGAAAATGCCTCATTATTCATAGCTTTGATCATTTCTAAAGCAAACAAGAGAATCTCTGGGCTGCAGCAAGCCCAGATGAAATTGAGCTCAGTGGAGAGAGAACTTTTCCAAGTCCACACCTAGCTATATATTGCAAAAAGAAGCCCTCTCTCATGGAAGTGCATGAAGGCAACCCCCTCCCCATGGCAAGCCCCATGTCAAGTCTGGTCCAACTTGTGCCTTCAGAGGGGTGCTTTTGTGCAGGCCATGGACGGCTCAAGTGCATGTGATGGTCCATGTAGTGATCCAGGACAAACTAAGGAATTGGAAGAAGTGTCCTCCACCTTTGTGATTGTATCATAGATTAAGAGATCTGTAGGTCTAGGAGAAGCAGTGACATAATTTTTGACACTAGAAGATATGAAGGTTCTTAGTGGCAGAAACTCAGCACTTCCACTCTCCACTTCTCTGATGGAACAAAAACTAAGCAAAGCTTTTCCTGTGCATAGTTATTTGTAAAGACATTGTATCACGACCATATCAATAAAACATAAATTCCAAAAATACGTAGGAAGACACAAACAAGTTCGATACGCCAAATCATCAAAATCATTCTCATTTTGTGAAACACTTCACCTGCCTATCTGCATCCCTTATTTTCTGCCTCTCTTCTTCTTCCAGTGAAGGTCTGGCTTGCCCCTATGAATATCCAATGACTTCACTTGTGCTCTGGATCCTACTAGAATATAAATTTCATAAGAGCAAAGACCTTATCTTGTTCAGTGCCCTAATGCTAGCCAGAGCCTAGAACAGCGTCTGGTGCATAACAGTGGCTCAGAACACATTTGGTTAATCAATGGTCTTTGGAGCAATCTGCAAGAGTCCATATAACTCACGTATTCATAGAGGTTAATTCTTCAGTCACTTTCAGCTCAGCATTAACTCCTCCAATATACAACTGAGTGGTACCAATAATGACTATTGACTCATCAAGATCAAGGAAGCCAATCAAAATAATTTGCCTTGATTATTAATTGACTATTGATGTTGCTCCCAATGTCCTCAGTTCTCCAAGGCACTGTTCTTGTGAAAGACCAATAGCCTTAAATAAGTTAAAGGATGGGACAGTGTTTACATCATTTTTTAGATCCACACATTTATCTCTACATTGCACAACCTCAATACATGCTAAATGAAATGGGTTAACTGTTAATTCATTAATTAGATGCATTCCTGATGGCTCTTGTGAAAAATAAAACAAACACATGGCAACTTATTACAAATTAATTGTTAACCCAGACCCTAGTGACTCCTCCTGTTTCCCACTCCTCCTTTCTGGGTTGTGTCTGCTGTTGCTATACGCCGCCAGCCAAGCTGAGGCATGTTCAGACTCTATCCGAAGCCTGTAGCCCTGGGTATTGGCACATGCATAAATGGCTGCTGGAGACAGATGAAAGGCTGGAATGATAAACAGGAAGTACAAATAATTGCTAGGTCCTGGAATGATGTTAGTCCAGGATACTAAGGTTAGGATGTATCTGAGCTTCTGCTCCTATATGTTTTCTTCAGTCAATAAGAGAAAGAGCAGAGCCAAGACTCTGGGTGAACTTCTAGAGTCTATTTGGAAATCTAACTTTCAGAAGCCTAACCATCATATGCCTGGAATTTGGTCATCTCTATTTTATTCTTTGAAATGGCTCCCTGAATTCTTGCTTGGGAAACCAGCCTGAAAGTGGGAAATATTTCTCTACCCATAGAGAGGGGCTTTTGAAATAGTCCTATGAATAGTGATGTTTCAACATGAAATACAGTAGAACGTCTAATAAAATTTCCAAACAGATAAGTCTCTCCTATGAGTTATTTGAGAACTGCAGGTATGGGGCTGAAAGGGGCAACCTTTGAACCATTGTTCTGGAAAGCTGGGAAGTAAAACTTTATTTCTCTGAGATTTGGAGAATTGTGGTTCCACAATACAGTTTTGTTTCCATGGCAATCTTTGCATTTTGTCAAATTCTGATATAATGCCCTGAAAAATCCATCACCTCTGACTGAATTACAAACTACTCTACAGTCAAATCCTGAAAGATAGATTGTCAAAACTCCTTATGATTACAGAGCTGAATTAGCCTGCCACGTGACCTCACCAAAAGTCAGTACTGAATCCTTATAATTTTTAAGTTATTGCTTAAGTTTCTATCAACATACCTCACAACATGAGCTCTTGTTCTTATATTTCCAAGAGCAATATGAGAGCAAAACTGAAAAGCATCTGAAACATATTTCATAAAGGAGATGGGTATTTGATTTGGATATGCCAGGTAGAAGGCACTAATGGATCAAAAAGGTAAAGGTGGAAAAAATAAACATGGAGTTTCTGGTTTCTAGAAAACTGTAAGTGGATAAGAGAGGTCTGAAGCCTTTTGAAACAGGAAGAGACAGTAGTCTTCTTTTGGCTCTGGAAGGGAGCTGACGTGAGCTAGAGAGGCTCCTTGAATGCTGCCATTATTCTTGGAGGTTGCCCAGCCCCTAAGGAGATGAGGCCCAGATGTCAGCCTAGAACAACAGAGGAAGAAGCCAAGTTTCACTCAATGGCAGAGCCAGTCTTAACAGCCATGCGCATGCTTTGGGGGAATGAAATAGAACTAAGAGAAATCTAATGTAGATCTCTAGAGGAGGTGAGTACAGATCAAAGTAAACTGACTCGACTCGAAGCTTAGCAGAGACATCTGGGAGCTAGACAAGAAAATAGTTCTCTTATTTAGAGACCCAGCACCAAAGCTGCTTCAGCAGTGGAGCTCAAAGAAGCACAAAGCAAGAGAGGTGACCTGAGAGAGAAGAGTAGAAAGCTAGTTTTTGAAGAGGCTGAGACCCCACTGGACCTAGAAGCAGCTACCACATTTTAGGAATCTAGAGAACCTACTAGATGTATACTGCCCAATATGGTAGTCACTATGCATATACAGATATGCACTGTATGCAGCACTAGGCACATGTCAAGTGCTCCATAACCACATAGTCAGGTAGCTCATGACCACCAAAATGAAGACTGCAGATATAGAAGATTTAAGTCAGTGCTGCAGTCTGAAAAATTAAGTGTGGAGCCTGCAGGCCTAGTAGTTGGAATCAGCCAGGCCCGTTGCAGTTTGGTATTAGCAGCCTTACAGACAGGAACAGTGTTCAATTCTTTCTATTTCTTCTCATCCTTCAAGCTAAAGCTTAATTCTCAACTGAGACGAAGCCTCCTCTGGGTTCCAACAGTGCTTTGTTCTTCTACTATTTCCACCTATTCCACTGTATCTAAATTGTCTGTCTCTCCCCAAAGGGCCTGTACCTTATGCATTTTGTGATACAGAAGGAAAAGGAGGAGAACGTGGAAAATAATAAAAAGAACAAGAATAACAAGAAGAATAACCTCTGCTGTGCCCTTATTATCTCCTAAGCAGTTTAAATACATATCTCATTTAGGTACTATTATTTTTCCCATTTGTAAACAACAAAACTGAGACTTTATGTGTTCACGCAATTTGCCCAAAGCCATACTGATGAGAGGTAGTAGAGCTAGGAATATGTGTTTTGTCAATCTGTTATATTGCTCTTCATCCATTGTGAAACATTTCATCAGGGTCTAAAAACATGATTTTTCAACTGAATCTTACTGTTAGAAATATTAGAGTAAATGTGAAATTAATCATGGACTCAAATTTGATGGGATACATGAATGTTGGTTTAAAAATGACACCAAGCTTATGAATTGCTATGATTGATGTACATGTGGGCAAATGGAGGGCTCCCTGCAGGGATGGAGAAGACCATCTGGAAAAGGAAACAGCCTATGCAAAGACAGGAAGGCCCAGAAAAGTGTGCTGAGGGGTGGCACATAGGTCAGAGACACAGCTGAGACACTTCTGAGTGAGTCTAATTTTAAACCAGCGTTTCTTCTTTCAAGGGGGGAATTGCTAGGTTTGTAGGTAATTCTCTGGTACATTACCCTGTCTTACGGAATACTAAAGAATGAAGTTCCCTTTTAGGTCTCAATGATCATATACCAAGGAACAGAATTTATATGAACAAAAAAAATCACTAACTTACCAAGTGACAAAGGCATAAATCATTCCAA